GTTTTGGTTATTGTGGCGGCGAGGTCGAGCCAGGCGGGTTCGTGCTGGGTTACTGCTACCCGAACTATCTTCGGAGCCATTATTATGATTGTGAGAGTGAGATTGGCTGAGTACTAGACGATTGTGTTCCTTGTTATGTGAGTGCGAAACGAGAAGTAAGGGCTAGGTATTAGATCTTGAGTGAGCTCCGAGGCCAATCTCCTACCGATGGAAAGGTGCTCCTACTCTCGTGACATGGCATAGTTAAATAGCATCAGTCCTTTTGCCATGTATCGTGCATCCAGAGCGGCGGGGTTGCTGGGAACTACATGCATGAAGCTAGATCGACCTTCGCGCATAAGGAAGTCTGATACGGAACTTCGGTCGTCCAATCAGCTTCGGCAGCTAGAAATAAACCTTCACGCCTCGACTTCAAGCGAGGCAGTAGTATCTGTAGAGCGTGTGAAGGATGCGAGGATTTGTAGATTGATGCGAGGAAATACATACCTCTTCGACTGCTATATAGATGCTCAGCGCCCGACAAAATGCTATCGAGCTCCTCCAACGCCAGCGCCAGATGTATTAGGCATTGGCTCGCCGTTCGGCTCGTAAGGCAGAGCTAGCTCTATGCTGCGCTACATCCTTCGATACCTGCGGGATTTCCACAGGTTGGTGTCTTCATCTGATCATCTCATCATGTTGTCATCTGCAGATACTCTGCCTTCTCACAATATCTCCTTCAACTTCCTCTTTTGCTCGCCACTCAAACTTGTAGGATACTTGATATTCACTCCTACAACCAGATCGCCTCTCACAGTCGGCGTCTTGCTCTTCGGCATGCCGAGCTGTGGAAATCGCTCCGTCCAGGTAGGTTGTGTTGGTCCTGCACTCGAGACATTGACCTGCCGTTTGTCGATCGTGGCCACAGTTCTCGACCAGCCGGTCAGAGCCTCCTTCAGGTCGATGTCGATCAAGTGCTTCAGATCGTCTCCATCTCGCGTGAAAAGTGGATGTGGCTTTTCTTTCACGATGAAATGCAGATCTTGCGTGCCGCCTTCGACTTGATCGCCCATATCCGGGTACTTAATCTTCGAGCCGGCTTTTAGGCCTTTCTTTATCGGCACGCTGAGGATCTTGTCTTCGACACTCTGCCTCCCAGTCTGAGAGTCGTAGGTCTTTCGTTGCACTTTCAGCTTCTTCGTCGTACCTTCGTAGATGTCCTCCAGTGATATCGCGATGGGCTTCTCGACGACGGTTGTCTCGGGTTCTGCTTCCCGCCGTCGCACGCCAGCGCCGCCGAAAGATGTGGGACCGCCTGCTCTCCTGCCACCTGTTCCAAAGCCCCCGAACGGACTTCCGCTACTTCCAAACATTCCCTCAAAACCATCGTCGTCGCCTCCCGCGCCTCCCCCTGCACTCTTCATGAACTGCGCAAATATGTCGTTCGGATCTGAGAAGCCGCTGAACCCCCCTCTACCTCCTCCTTGAGGACCACCCATGTTGAAGGAGAACGTTCTCGTCCCGCCTCCCGAAGGCATTCCTCCAAAGCCTCCGGGCATTCCGCCGCTAGCGAACGGGTTCCCTCCAGGCATGCCCTCTTGTGGCGCAGGTCCGCCTTTGCCGGTGATGAAGTCATAGCCGTAGTCATCGTAAGTTTTCCTTTTCTCGGGGTCGGAAAGGATCTCATAGGCTTCCCCTGCTTCTTTGAACTTCTCCGCGCCTGCCGGGTTCTTGTCTGGGTGGTTCTTCAAGGCAGCTTTGCGGTAAGCCTTCTTGATCTCATCTGCGGTGGCTGTTGGAGAGATCGAGAGCCGGTCGTAAAGCTTTGTGTCGGCTACCATTGTGTCGGTAATGTTGAGACCGATGTGCAATAAACTGTGGTTAGTCGAGAGTTTTTGATGATTGGGAGATCAAAATTGCTGAGTAGAAAGAGAGAGTGCCTAGTGTGCTCAATGGGAAGTAAGGTTGTACGAATGGCTTGTATGCGCTCCAATCGCGAACATGCTATGCACCGCCCTGGATTGCCAGTCACTTCCGGCCAGGTCATGGAAGCTACGAGAAGCTTCCATCACGTGACTGTACAGGGAGGCCGCTGTGAAGCATTGCGAGACTCGAAGCTGTAGGTAGCCGTCATGACAAGTGATGGGCCGGCATCCGCAGTCATGCCATGCTGTGCGGAAGAGGACGAAAATTGAAAAAGATAGGATGCCAACGTGCAGAAAGGAAGCGTGCCAAGCAGCGGTCCGTGACCCGAAAGTAAGTAAGGTTACGGGACATCCGTGTAGTGCATGAGCTAGTCAAGACCTTGTCTGCTATTGTGTTTGCTGTCCTATCGCTCACACAGATTGGTAGGGCGCTGTGGTGGTCATCGCAGGGCATGGCAACATTCGTAATCCATCCCCTCGACCGTTTCGTCGTCGCCAAGACTGCCATAAAGCGGCCACGTGAGATTGCGTACTTCAGCTATGACGACGAACACACCCTGCACCCGCTCTCGGATAAGTCGCTGAGCTACTACTATCCTCCATTTGTCGATGTTCCGGCTGATGGAGGGCAACAAAGGCCACGGATCAGCCTGTCGAACGGGTTTGACGCGTTCCAAAAGCACGACGACAGTGTCGATGAGCACTTGGTCGCCTTGCTCGACACGCTTGCATCGTACGAGGAAAGAGAGGGCCATGTTGTCAAGGCTGATCTCATTACATGGAGAGGCATGATGACGAAGGTGCGTTCGCTTGATCATTCGAAGTGTTGATGGGATTGCTAGAGGATGGACTGATACGTCCGTCAGATCGTGACAGCTCCGTTTGACATGTTTAGCGAGTTCGAGATGAACGCTACTTGCTTCCAGGTGGGCTACGAAGAATTCCCTCAGGCTCTTGCGGCGAGCTGATCGTAGTGTAGGGTACAATGTAAGGGACCTACTGCTAGTGATGCGAGCTTTTGACTAACAGCCTCCAGCTTCCTCGAAGAACACAAAGCAGCCAAGTTCACGCCAGCAAACAACGGGCCGCCGAAGTCAGTCCCACATGGTGCACGTCCATCGCAGGATATGATGCAGTACTGGGGTATGTGTCGTTTGCTTACGCATCACTGTCGTTCTTGCTGACAATGTGTGCTGTAGGCTACAAGTTCGAGGTACTCTCTACCCTGCGCAAGCCATGGGCAGAGGTATCGCGAGGAGAGATCGAGTCCCGCGACAATGTGATAGTCAGCAACGAAGCTCAGTATTGCTCCATAGTCACCACTGGGATTGGCGACACCAATCTAATCCTCGGTGGGGAAGTCGATGCAGTCATGGGAACGAAGCCGGACAACGCAGATGACCCGATCCCTTGGGTTGAGCTGAAGACATCGCAGCAGCCGGTGGATCAGCGTGATGACATCAAGTATGAACGCAAGCTGCTGAAATTCTGGGCTCAGTCATTTCTTCTTGGAGTGCCGAAGATCATCGTCGGCTTCCGGTCCCCGGATGGCCACCTGTTGCGTCTGCAAGAACATGAGACGCAAAAGATTCCAGGGATGGTCAAGCGACAAGGCCAGGGGACTTGGGATGGTAACATCTGTATCAACTTCGCGGCGACGGTGTTGGAGTTCTTCAAAGCGAATGTGACCGGTGATGGGATCGTGTGGCGAATCTCGAGGAAGTTGAAGAGCGGCACGATCAACGTGTTCCCGATTGAGGACGTGAGTGATGAGTCCATTGTGAAGCCTTCATTTAAGGCGCACAGAGAGCGCATGCTGGCGAAGGAAGTCGCTGCTAAGCTCAACCCGGCGGGCTGATGAGTGTTATGGACGTCGCTATGGATCTGCGATGCTCGCCAACGGCACTCTGAGCAACGAGATGACATGTGAGACTGGTCCTCTGGTCGATGCAGCTGACCGATGGGTGGAGATCGCCTGAATTCAGTCCGGGACAATCGTATTCTGATGCACTGCGACATTGGGACGACCACATACACGGCCAAGATTTGAAGAGCGACACCTCCTTCATGCCCAGTAGCGCAGTACACGTTGACAGTAGGGAGTCTCGATCATCTTCGGTGTTCGTCGGTCGAATACGCAGATGCTTTTACGAATGGCTTCGGAGACTGAAGCAGGACCGTACGGGCGAGGCAGTTGGCTCTCTCGGCTCTATGTCTTGGCGCGATACGGGCAAAGCCAGCAATACTTGTGGAATGTCAATCTTCAACGATCATGTTAGCGACTGCCACGTCCTGTTCGCTCAATCTTTCATTCGCTGCCAATCATTCTGCCACTCCCTTACCGCGTCGGCTACTTCAGCCTGACAATGCTACCTAAAATCACCCGCCTATGTACTCCACCCTTCTCTCGCATTGCAAACTGTTTCTAGCCTGCTATACCGTCCCTTCGTCGCTTACTCCCCTGGCTTCTCTTGACCAGGATGCCGCGGCCTGGAAGTCCCCTCTACGCTGCCCACCCTGTTTACCTCAGCACCCCAAGATTAATTTTGCCTTGCGCAAGCAACTGGAGACACCACAGACCTTGTGCCTTGCTGGTACGTCCACACGCAGCCTTACTGCGCTGTCTCTTCGCTGCAGTCTCGGGCTGATCATGGGCCCGCTGCCAGGACCTTCTCAGATCTCCTCGAGGCTAGCAAAATGGCAAAAGAATTTTTGAACTAGCCGAGAGTCGAACTCGGGCCACGCGCAGGGTGCTTGTCTAATGGCAAGCGCGTATGATACCGTTTCACTACTGGATCGGGCATTTGGGAGGAGACACTGTTTCTCTAGCGATTTTCCGATGTCGGATGTCATGAATTTTCAAACTATAACCTACAAAGACGACGGTTCCTCGTCAGCGTGGTCTAATGCCACCCTTGGCTTTCTAGCTAGATCATTGAAGAAACGTGTCTGTCACCGAAGGTAGTGGCCTGGAGTCACTGCAGTTCGGTTTCATGTCATGGGTCACAATCAACAGACTACTCTGACCAGCTACAGGCTCTGGTAATAATCGCTTACACCGTCCGAATATCGAACAGACTGACATTACTGAGTTGAACCGAAGCTTCAACTCGACGGCCTGGGTGCCATTCTACCCCGCGGTGGCGCGGCACAGAAGCATTTTGGCCTTATCGGCCGCAGGTATTAGTCATCATACATTGCCGAGATGAGAAGATTAGCCTGGAGATCTACGTTGTGGAAAGATCTCCTTTGGAACAGCCTCAGCGCCCAGACACAGAAATGCATCAGATGCTGTTGGTTCCGACGGCTTACTGGTGGTCCATCCGGTCGCGGAACTCTTCTACGTCTCCACGGACTGAAGCTAGGTAAGCCGTAATGTCGACATCAGAGCATTTATTCCACCCTTTCCTTCGCCTCCCCCTCGATCTCCGCGAGCAGATCTGGCGCTTCTGCCTACCCAATCGCGTTCGCGAGCTGGACTACCCAGTACCAGAGACTGTCTTCTCCAACCAGTCTCTGCCTTGCCGGCTTGGAGACACCTCGAGGAAGAACACCTACCCACCGCTCATCACTGAGATATGTCGCGAATCACGCAAAGTGGCTCACGAGACTGGCATCTACCTCACTGAGGCCGCCGACCCCGCAAGCGCAGAGTGGGATGCCGCAACCATCATTCACGAAATCTGGCAAGACTCACAGCGCGAGTCCCTTCATCTCAACTGGGCTCATGAGCATGAAGACGATTGCTACTCTCGGGGTAATGCTCTCGAGTACTTGGTCCGTGTAGCTCAGTGTAAGCCCGTTTCTCTGACGGCTGAGTACCTCTTCGAAAGCCGTATGAAGGTGCCTCACGATCTTGAGTGGCTCAATCAACGTACGAATTGGCAAGTAATTGTGCACACCATTGTAGTCCATTCACCGATCAGACCTGCCGCCGTGACAGGTCTCTTCGGACTGCTTGGCGACGCTCGTGTGCAGACCATCGATGTGGGTGATTTCGAACGCGTCAAGCAGTGTTTGCACCTAGCAGAGACGTGTGAACAGGGCCGTGACATCACGGTAAGTCAGGACTTCACGCTGGAGACCATCTGGTATGCGGCCGAACGTCTGAGAGAGCATGTCGTAGGCGTGTACAGAACGGACCTGACGGCACGTATTCGTCCCGCAGTCATGTTCCGCCTCTGCACGCAGATGTGCAACGATCGCACTGTCGTGGGAGCTCGAGAAAGAGCCATGCGGGCGCCACCGGTACGAGGCAGAGGCAGAAATAGGGGACGGGGCTGAGGGTGAACTAGGTCGCATGAAGTATGTAAATCAAGTTCCATCGCTGTCAAATGGTATAGCGGTCAGCATGGGCGAGCGTTGCCATCTTCCTCACTTCTCGGCAAGTTTGAGTCACGACTTCACAGGTACAGCCATCTCCGTCACTGGGTTTCTCGACCCCTAGGTCGTCCATTATGTTGCGAGCAGTCGCAGATCTGGGCCTTGGCAAAGGTTGACACTGCAGATATCGGTTCGCGAAGCTTTCAAAGGTAGTGCAAAATATTATCTCCAGGCTGGACGGAAGATGATTCGCGGCACACCGTATTGCGGCCCTGAGACGTTCCTGATCCGCCGTTGGTGGTGGTCAAAAAGACTTTGCTTGCCTGTGTCGCTTGGTAGTGCTTTCTCCAGCTTGCGCACCTTGGCCGAGGCGCTTGATCTGTTTAGTAGATAGTGGGCCGATCTCATTTGCTCATGCCGAACCAATATGAAGAGGTATTCGAGAGCAATCATCGTCTCGGAGATGACGGTTTCGATAGATCAGGCAAGTGCTTCCTTGGCGGCTACCGACTGTCTGGCTGTGCCGTCTCACAATCTCTTCTGCTAGGTCCAACTGACTGTAAATCGACGCTCCTATGGTTTCACTTCCTCGTGATCCAGTCATCCAGCAACGCTGCGGCTCGACGTTAGTTGACGCACTCCTTGCCAAGGTTCCAATCCACCCTGTGCGGAGCCGGAAATCCTGGCCGGTCTCCGTAATGGACCTTGTTTGCATGAAGCACAATAAAACGTCCTCCAAAGTCTATGCAATGACTTCAATGATAATTTGCATCCCCTCATTAAGTGTTCCTCCATGATTCAGCTAATGCAAAGGGGCTTGTGCCCTCTCCAGTGCAACAAGAGACCCAGCAGAAGCGCTGTCCACCCGTCACGGGTACCTCGCCCTAATCTGCTTCATGTATCGCCTGTGGCTTCGTTGCACTATCAGTACAGGCCTCCTGGTCCAAGCGTAAGGAACCCGTCAAGACCGTATCCCAGTCTGTGAAGTGCCCCGGACGGGTACCAGGATGCAGAGCAGCCGGCGGCGTCACGCAGCTTTGTATGGTAAGGGATCTTCGCTTCTGCCCTTCTTGCGCTCCCCACCAAATCCTGTCGGTCATATCATATCATGCTATCCAGGCGTTCCTGTGTCGCCACTGCGTTGATAGTCTTCGGTGGCTGCGGTAAGCCCCACTGCTCTCCTTCGATCATACTACCGCTTACTGTTACAAGAGGTACTTGCTGCCGTCCACCAACATGGTCATGGAGGCCATCAACATCATGTAGCTAGAGATCAAGCCCAAGACAATGGTCTTCACGGTGGGCAGGTGGCGGCCAACCTCGCTGCCACCTTCGTGAGCCATAACAACACCACAGGAGACTTCATGGAAACGTCTGCTCTCGCAGAATCGCAAGCATCGATCCTGAAGCGCGGTGTTGGCAACAATGTCCAATTGCGGATCCTACCACTCGGTGCCTCCATCGTCTATGGCCAGACATCGAGCGATGGCAATGGCTTCCGCTACGGTCTACGGAATCAACTCATCTACGGTGGCAATGCGGTCAATATGGTTGGGTCCGTCCAAGCTGGGACAATGACCGACAATGACTGCGAGGGCTGGCCGGGCTATGTCATAACTCAAGTCGCCGCCGAGGCTGAGCTGTCTATTCCCCAACAACCCAATCTCGTCCTACTGCACGTAGGCACCAACGACTGCCTTCAGTCTATCGACATCAACAATGCGGGAGCACGCCTTGGAACCTTGATTGATCGTCTTTTCTCTGCAATGCCGGGCGTTACAATCGTCACGTCTACGCTGCTCCCAAACGGCAACTCCAACACTCAGGCTAACATCAAGATATTCAATGCTCAGATTCCAGGCGTAGTAACGTCAAGGCAGCGAGCGGGCAAGAAGATAACCTATGTCGATTTCTCATCGTCTTACTTCAGCCTGGCGGACATCGGAAGTGATGGGTACGTGGTTTCAAGCATTCCCTCTCATGCCACTATTGTTGTTTCCTCGCGGCAAGACGGATCAGCTTGCTGCGAAGATAAGTCTTTCGAAATACTCATTACCACCCGGTCCATGGCGTCTGCATCTTGTCCCACTGCTGACGAAACCCACAGAACCCACCCTACCTCTGCCGGGTACGCCAAGATGGCCGAAGTCTGGTACCAAGGCATACAAGTTTCGAATTCGCGCAACTGGCTAACAGCCCCTGCGACCGTCTCTGGTGTCTCGGATTCTGATGCTTCCTCCGGCACTGTCAGGGTCTGTAATAAAGTACCGGGCACTGCAATCGGACCTGTTCAAACACAGATGGACTCGGGAAGCGACGATGGAGCTTATGTACACACAGGGGCCCAGTTGGCAGGGTTTGCGGGTTTCAAGAATCCTTCGACCGTGAACTTCAATAACCCGCTCCCGGAGGGCGTTTTCTGGGCTGATATTGTGAGTTGGGCGAAGTAACATTTGATAGACCTTCGGCTGATCCAATGATTGTCTAGAACGGCGACGGCATCGACGACTATGTGTACGTTGGAAGCAACTCGAACTACGGCCTCGGTGTTGCACTAAGCCTCGGAGCTGGGAAGATGGGCGACTACCTTTACTATACTTTCTCGCCATCTTGTAACATGCCAGGCGTCAGATTCGCTGACATGACAGGGGACGGCAGGTAAGTCGTTCCCAAGACGTGCAAGCCCCAGCTAGCACCGCAAGTATTGACATATTGCAGAGATGACTTCTGCTGCCTTGGACCTGATGGTGGTCTCGTATGCTGGCAGAACACTCCAGGCTCCGACACACGAAGTCCGAACTGGGTCTCGATGGGTACTGTCAAGTCGAGTGAGGGTTATCCGCAAGCTCAGGTAGGTCGATACGAGTGAGTTCTGTCTCTTCATCTGCTGATCTTCACCCAGGTCAGACTCGCTGATATAGACGGCGACGGCAGAGCAGAGTGAGTTCACTCTTTAGCATCTTGTTCGCTGTCAAGGACTTCCGTGCTAACCGTTTCACGCAGCTATCTCGTCTTCGACGCTACAACTTCCAATATATACGGCTGGCGAAATGGTGCCACCTCGAATACCGCTCCCGCTTATTGGGTTGCCATTAACAGTGTTTTCAGTGGGTTACCTGCTCATGCTCTGGCTGGCTGGAGGTTTGTCGATCTAAATGGAGACAAGAAGGACGACCTCGTTTGGGTTGATGCAAACGGCCAGGTAACGACGTGGATCAATCGTCGTGGATATGGCATTGGTCTTGCACCGGCTTGGGTATCTCACGGCGTCACTCATCAGGGCTCTGGTACTCCGGTCAACGTTACCTTTGGCGCCTTCATGGGATCTGGGCGAGCCGATTATGCCCTAGCCTCGATCAGAGATGGGAACGTCTACATTGATCGATGGGAGAACAAGGATGTCGGTGAGACGATGGTACGGTGTTGTCGTGACCTGATCACCCGCAGGATGCTTTCGCTGACCTATCTGTGTGCT